TCAGCTCTTTTGATGCCTCCTCTTTAAATAATCTTTGAAATCGCCTGCCCACCTTTTTATTTGATTGTCTTGCGTTGTAATTATTTGTCCGCTTCCTATATTCCTCTGATTATCTGAAACAACATTGGAGAAGGGCAAATGTGCCAATCGGGTTATTGTAAAAAATTACCTCGCGAGATGAAATAATAGCTATTCATCTTATAAGGTTAATGTGAAACGTTATACGCGCCAGTACCGTCGAAAATTATAATTAGTTCATTTCGAACAAAACCTACACGCGTCGAACATTGCGGACACACATCACTGACGAAATAGTAAGGTCAATCGATTTTTTTTTCTTTTGACTGGGCACGACCAAATGAAAACGGCCAATATTGTCGCGGGCGTTAACAATGGCCGCCGAAGAAGTTATATTAGACGGCGATCCGGCATGATCTGGTTCAGGTTCTCCGACCACCTGGCCTTCCTGTCATTTGTTTTAATTTTAAATCGGGTAATAAGACAAGTAAAAGTAAAACTGCGTCTACGGACTCAGTTTTAACCCGACCGCATGCTGTTTAATATTTAATTTATGTATATCTTACATGATCGAGTGATTGCGATACATATTACTGGCTGGGAGAGGGGGTCACAAATAACTAAGTTACAAAAAAAATAAAGAAACTCGATTATAAAAGATGTTCTATTTTTCTATTTTTTTTAAAGAGATTAATTGTAGCAAGTCAAAATTACACAACAAAAATATCACAAAACATATCACAATTAAAGTATTAATCAAAACTAAATATTAAACTAGGAAGAAAACTGTGTGTACTTTATCTTTAAATTCAACGATAGAGAACACAGAAAAAAACAAATTCTTTATTACTTTTTAGAAAATTTCAGTCAAACTCTGAAGAAGCCAACAGGATGATTGGCGAAACGTTAGCTAGTTCGAGTAAATAAAAACCGACGCAGGAGGCATCCAGAAATTTTGTAAAAAGTGATAGAGTAGCCTGTGGAAGTTTCTTTGAAAAATTAAATTTTTAATTGTAGCTTACGTATTGCTCCAATATTTTTGTACTCGATTTAAATTTAAATATTTTTAAATTAAGGACACCAATTTAAATTCAGAATTTCAATATGCTTCAAAAATGAATATGATATTTTCCAGATATACGTTTAAATATTTTAATTTTAATATTTTAACAGCGTGTATAATTACTATACGAGAAATCGCAATGATTTTATTTTATATTTTATTTAAATATATATTTTTAAATACCTTGAAAAATTTTGATAATTTCAATAACTTTACAACTATGTTGAGGAAATATGTGAGATTTTAAGTATAAATCACTGCTTCACCTTAATTTTGCCTATATACTGATTTCTGGTTATAGTTATGTTGTTTGTTGGTTTTCTTTTTTCATGCATTTTGTAAACAATTGGTTTTGTATGTACCATCCGAAGCTAATAAAGAAATATTACCATTATTATTATTAAATAGTCTTGTTTTAAATTGTTTCAAATTTTTATTTCTAAATTTCAAATTCTACTTCTGAGATTGCATCATCTTCATCATCAACGTAACATACATTCGAATTGATAATATCGATGTGTCGTAATTTATAAAATAATTGTTTCAAAATTATGATACCCTTGTAAAACTTTGTAAACAATTGTTTTTGTATGCAGCATCCCAAGCTAATAAAAAAATATTATTATTATTATTATTATTATTAAATAGTCTTGTTTTAAATTGTTTCAAATTTTTATTTCTAAATTTCAAAATCTACTTCTGAGATAGCATCATCCACGTAACATACATTCCATTTGACAATATAAAATAATCGTCTCAAAATTATGATATCCTTGATATTATAAGTTTGCGTCCTCAATTTAAAAATAATATTTGTTGACTACTTTACACGTATATGATTTATAACACAAATCAGGCAGATTTGTTTTTAAAATATAAAAATATTTCGACATTCAACACGTTAAACAACTACACTACAACCCCCGGATCCAATGCTTATATATTCCATTTATAATGTGTATTTTATTTGTTATTATTAATTTTTCATCTATAGAATAAACGCAAGATATTCACAGTTTCCTTCAGCATAATACAGCCTACGTTAAAATAATCAGCAAGGGCAGCAAATTAGAGATTTCTCAATTTAAAATGATCCAAATATATTCGTATATTTAAAACACCCTCTAGCATCCAATTCAAATAACACTAACATCAAATATGAGGGATCTATTTACCTTCAAAAGTCATAGCGGACCAGTATTTTTTTTTTAGAAAAATTAAAATATTGTAAAATCTGTTTGGTTTAGATGTGATCACAAATTATGGATTCATTTAATTTAGAAAAAGAAAGACATACTTATTAAGTGTATGTTCGAATTAATCGCGTATATCGCAAATGTAATACGGCTTACACAATAAAAACCTATTAACAAATATTACAATAAGTTCCCAGAAGTATATTGTAAGCCTTATCGTTTAATTCCATCAGCAATGCGACCTTTAGTTTGGCCGATAACCCAGTCGTTCATTATTGAAAATTATTTTGCGAAAATGCCAATAGCTGCAATTCCGATGGCGAAATCATTGAGATGCTTGTTATTTTTTCCTTTTCAACGGTTTTTCATTAAACAAAAAAGTATTTCATGTATTTTCTGGAAACTTTTCGGCGCTCGATTAGCTAAGTGAATGTGAACTATTAAAAAAGACGCAAAAGACTAAAGGATAAAAAACTTAAATTATCACTTTAGCCATGATTCTGACAGTAGGTGATGGCTTTGACATTTGATATTATTCACCCTGTCAGATTATTGTTGTTTGTGTGCTGAAAAAATTCTTGTAAGACGCAGCAATTTGGCATAAAAAATGGCAACGAATTTGATAAAAGTCGTAGAAGGGATGCAGGATTTGGCATGTTTAGACCTTGAGCAGTTAGTCGACTGGTTGGATTTTAAAGAAAACTTATTGCGAGACAAGTAATCCGCTACCATTTGCCTCGATGAAAATTCATCCAGTTCTTTTGCAGAAGACTAATGAAGGCGTTGCCAGAACAAAAAATTGAAACGATTCGTAAAGAGTGCGAAATTTTGAACGAAGAAATTCAAAAAAGAAAATTCCAACTTCCCGTTCAATCGGGAAAGTAACTCAAGAAACATACACTCCGGTATTTATTAACTTATCTTGCTTGTAAAATTTCGCTTTGAATAATAAATGGTAAACGTAAAAATTCTATTTTTTTTTGTTTACTTTAGATATAATCGGAATATAGAACTACAGCGATACAAAATCTTGCCGTTCCAAAAATTACTCTAACATTTCTTTTCCTCTAGTTGTGTCTTTGCTTAATGACACATTAAGTCTAATAGGCAATATTTCTCTGAAAAGAAACTGAATAGCAGAGGTGCAGAAATCAGATAAAATTTTGACAGTGTTTAAATGAGATGTCCTTATATCTTTGGGAATTCAGAAGGATCAAAGATTTAAAAGCTGAAATAATGGACTATTTAAAAGAGTCTTCTAATTAATTTTTTACATGATAGTGTTTATTTCATATTTATTTATTTATTTATCAGCTAAAAAAATACAGTGTTGTAGATCTAAACTTCAACTCCCCTTTAGAGCTGAAATCATTTGTACGCAGTGCGAAGTAAAACGATAATAATAATGTACTAATAAGAAACAATACAAGAAAGAATACATATGCTCATTCATTTCTTATAATAATATAAATTTTTTTTTCATCCCTACACACATGCAATTAATAAATATAACCTCCTACACTCATCGCAGAATTTGATGGCCTACCATATAAAAAGCCTTACCTTAGTCTAGGAAAACTGCTGTTGTTAGTTTACTTTTATCCAGAAATGGATTCGGTAAATTTCTGGGACTGACACTGTTGCTATAAATAATAATAATTCGCACATGCGCTTTTCTCGGTCTTTTTTCTCTTCTTTGGTATTATTTGTGTCTTAGTTATATATTGCACGGGCTTAACTAAGCTAATAATTAACCAATAATTAAAATACAGCTCTTGTGGGTTAAGGTGAGGAAGTGCAACTTCAACTTCGCATTTTGTAGTTTGTAATACAATAAAGTCATATAACATAATAAAAATTATATATATATATATATATATATATATATATATATATATATATATATATATATATATATATATATATATATATATATATATATATATATATATATATATATATATATATATATATATATATATATATATATATATATATATATATAAAGTATGGCAAGACTGGATTGGATTGGAAGACACAGTTATTATAAATATCCACAAAAAAAATATCTTAAACATCATATCTTCCAAAAATCTCATCTGCTGGAAGAAAGCCTTACATTTATACTATTTGCAATTACATCCTCTTTAATAATGAATACATAGGCAAATACATATCGCATTCTTATCAAACTGGAGTCAATTTAGGGAGAGTTCAATGCGGCATTTTCAAATAATAGTCCGTGCCTGCATCTCAGATCGATAACAAATAAAAATCGTTTGAAACATTTCTTTAAAAACCAATATTACTGCAGTGCAGTGTAGTGAAGATTTAGTCTTTTTTTTGTACTTTGTGAAGCTACAACGCTTTGTAGTTTTGTAATTTTGACACTTTTATTGCAATATTATTGCTAAATTTATAATTGCATACAAATTAATCAGTACAAATCTAAAAACATCACATGTTGATGGCCTGATCTTAAATTATCGCTGTATCATTAAATTTGAATTTATCAAATCAAAATTTATCGCAAAGAGCCGAAAATCAAATAATTGAAGGCAATAAATAATAATCAAGTCTTTTCAAAAAATATCCAAATTATCCAACCTACAAGGTTTGTACCAACATTCTCAAACACGCAATGAAACGTCACAATTCGTACCAGAATGAAGTTCAACGCAAAAGGGGTCAATAAAACGAAATTACAATAAATGTTTACTAACCTTGTAGAAGTAATTCCTGCACAGGGGCTTAAACGAGTTGGTGCCGCAGATTAAAATCCGACCAGGTCCCGTATGGAACAACATCCTGATGTAATTTTGGCATTCGTCTTCGTTTTTGCCTTTGAGATTGCAAAGTTGGCCGTGGGCTTCGGACGAAGGCCATTGGATTCCGAAATGTTTCCTTTCGACGAAATCAAACACCGACAAGTTATAAACCCTATTACGGCCCCCCAATAATATAGTTTCCTGGTCTTGATACAAGACGGTGAAATGATCGAGGAAACTGTTGTTCCCTTTAAAACTAACGCTGGATAACTTATTTACATTGTTAATTAATTTCGTGTTTGTATCGGGCAGCCACGCCTGGCAAACGTTTATAAAATATAATACTAAACACAAAGGTAGGCATGTGTTGATTTTGAGGCACTGCAAGGCACTTATAGACATGGTATCGTGTTTTTTTTCTTTTTCCTTCGCATTCGCTTCAGTTCCGACTACGTCGTTGTTTTTCCACCACAATGGACCTGAAACAAAGACAGAAACACTCTTAGTTTGGATGGAAAACGAGAATAAACGCGAAACTTTTGGAAGAGTTTAATTTTAAATTGTATTGAAAGTCGTCAAGGCTATCTCAAATTCTCTGGATTTATAATAATCATAATAATGACCTTTATTACCTATCGTGTGAACACAAGATACAAAAAACGTCGTATCAGATTCCTGAACAAAATAAACCAGAAATAATCAATAAACGACGAGAAAAAAGTGGATATTATTTTCTGGTAAGAAATCATTGGCCTATCAACCCATATTTCTTTAGATTCCTTTTAAAATATTATAACACAACACCTGCTAGTGTTGTCCTTCCTTACATTCAAAACACCACTAACCACCTATCAACAGATTTGCTACTTGTACAAGTAGTGACAAGTATCTCTCAAAATCTTCGATGAAGATGTGATTCCAAAACTGCTATGGGTTTTGTTGAATGCCCTATTTACAATTGGACAGATATGTTCTATATGCAGATTTAAAACATATTTCTTTAAATATTCGGACCTAAAAAAGTAGAGTCATCCAGACACTGGTTTTTATTTGATTTAAGTTTATGTACTTCGTATTCGTACTTCGATTTTTTGAAGTATTTTCCTAAAACAGATTGAAAAAAATCAAGAAATTAAATTCCTATAGAAATTAGAAAAAACTTTTGTTAAACTTGTAAATAAATGTAGCCAAAAGGAAATACAAAAATCTATAATATTTCCTAGTCCACCTCTGATAATTTCATATCTGTGGATTCAGACCATTACGGATTAAAATAAAAATTACGGTAAATCTGAAGTAACATTAACCAATTAGTAACTAGTAATTTTAACTAAAAACTTTGGTTTACATTATACGTGGGATTCTGTATTATTGTAAAGATAAATAAATAGCTAATTCTATAAAAATATACACAATAATTAAATGTTTGTATGAAAGATAAAAGACTATTTAATGTCGTTTAATGTGTCAGGAAATCAGAAACGACAACGAAAAATTCAAAGAACATTAAAATGTAGTTACTAACGTTACTATGCTTTTAATAAAAAAAACTATTTTATTGTTGGGATTATTAGTTGGTAATTTATCTCTTTGAGCAGCTTAATCTCGTAATTTTAGTAATTTAGCGGGGCCTCAATGGACTGACATTGTCAAGTAAAACTTAATTTCTACAATTTATTTGTCTTACTTTTTAAGCGTTAACTTGGATATGTAAACGAAAAAATTAAAGAAAACAACAATATTTTTGCCGTTAAGTGGGACGGATATTAATAAAAAACTGATTTAAGGCGCCATATTTACAATATGGCTGCTTATCGGCACATCGAAATATAGAAAATCGTCCATTTTCAAAAGTTACTGGTGTTATCGGAAAAATTTCGTTCAAACTACCACGTGACAGCAATTTTAAAAATTTTCATTTTTGTTAGCTTCGCGATTTTCCCGTAGACTTTTCGTACACTGAAACTGACTAAAAAAATTCTCTACCTCATCCAAACAAACGTATTTCAAGAAGCATTACATCACTTTTAAATCACCGAAAAATTTTCAAAAAGTTTGAACCAAGTGGCTCCCGACAAGATCGTAAATCGATAACCAAGAAAACTCGAGTACTGCACGGATTTCACAATGACGCGACAAAACCCACTGCCCGACCTATGACAAAAGTCAAAGTAAAAACGAGTGTAATTATCCAAATTAATTACGGTTGCACTTTCTAAAAGACCCATTTAAAAATTCGTCGTAAAGTTCACATTAAAATTAATGAGAATACTGAACGCCATTTGGTGCGATCCTTCTGCAATATTACTACAATAAAATAGAAGTCTATAGTTCAGCATTATCTTTCGTATAATCGTAATTACATAAGCACGGAAATGGTTATATATTGAAAAATATACACGGCTTAATAATTTAGAATATTAATTAAACAATCCAATATAACTAATTAAATACCATCAATAGAAAAATAAATGAAAAACGCCTGCAACAATAAGCTACCATAAACCATTTAAATTTATCATTCTGTCATTGGCTTATTTGCTTAGGGAGAGTTTTTTTCCAGTCAGATTTAAACAAAAACAAACTATAATGTCTATCTTGCGTAATTTTAGCTATATTAATTATTTATTTATTAATGCAAGCAAATATATGGTTTCCCTAGAATCTTCAACAAATGAACACGAGACAACACGAATATCATTATCAATTAAGAATAAGCTCCAAATTAATGGAACTTGCATATTCTGACGGAGAGGCAATGTACGAATAACTAGTAGATAAAAAGAGGTGACTAGAGCAAAATAGAAACGTAAATCTAGATGCAAATTTATCGAGAAAAACATTGGAACAAGAAAAGCGACTAAAGCATGGCAAATACTGAATACTAAAAATAAACTTAATATAGCATACACAGTGGAAATTAAATCACGAAAAACTGCTACCCGAAGAAAATGGTGTATTCTACATGGCTAACCATAAATAGATGAAAATGTACAAAAAAATCTACAGCTCCACCCAGAAATATCTTGATCAGTGATGGCTCAAGCACTCAAGAGATCAAGAGCCGAATAAATCAGCAACTGGACGGCTAAATTCAGTTCTGTGGAGCAAGCAGAAACCACCAAAGTTAAAATATAGAAACCAATAGTAAAAAGTATTGGAGTAAGAAACAAGGGTATACGGAACGGAATGAATATAGCAACGAATAGAATAGATAAAGAAAATGACAAACTAGATGCACAAGAGATGGGAAGACCCAGAAGTTTTTGACGAGCAGAAAACTGGTGAGACCAAGAGCGATGGAAAGTAAACAACTGTAATATCGCAAATATAGTTAGTTGTTCATGACCATTAGACATTTTCAGGCTTTCTTTGACAACTTATATCTTTTTTCTTACGACATTTACGACAAATGTCACTATGGCACAAAAATAAATAAATATGAATGTCCTTGGTAACCGCACACTAAGAGAATATAAGTGATCAAAAAAACATCATATACATGCTGATATTGTTAATAAACTATTCCGGCCTTATATATCAAACAGAGTGTAAAAACTAATAACGCTCTCATAAGCTCTTGAACAGATCTCAGAACGGTGTTTGGCTCAGTGGTCTTTAATTAGATTCAAGGGGCAGGGAGACATGGTCTGTTTTGCAGATGGCACCGCCATAGTCATAAAGTTGGCATAGCAAAACGTTAATAAAGCAAAGTTTCTTGGTTTCTCAATAACAAAAGTCAGTGGCTGTTAAAATCGCCCCACTGCAACTCTACCTTTAAATGAAATAAAATTAATAACACGAAATATCTTGGATTCATTAAAGATTCAAATTTAAGACGTCAAGAGAATGCCGAATACATCCTAAATAAAATTAGAAAAACCCATTACAGTGCAGCCGATTAGAGTATAATTAAATCAGTGATTGTAACTCAACAATATGTCTTGAAGGTGATGCATGTATTACAAATGAATCAAACAAAATAATAACTGCATTATTCCAAAACAAAATTCCAAAAATAAACTTTTTATCGGTTACCAAAAATATTTAACGTGTTACATGTTCAATTTAAGAATAAACTCAAGCAGTAGCTAATAAATAATACAATAACCTGGTTCTATGCTTAGTGAGAATTGTATAACCACGGTGGATATAGTCCCTTTAAAACTCATTCCTTCCTAGGCACAAGACAAAAATAAAAAACCACTTATTTCAAACCTCATTAATTAATAATACGTAATTTTAATAATTTGTAGTAATTTATGTGTATATAGTGATTTACTCAACCAACAAACATAAAATGCACAGCATAGAATTGACCAAAGCAAACGACAGTTTTTCAATTTACATTTGGTTTTCTCGATTATTTTACTTTTGAAACGACACTTCGATATAACTGTTTATTCACCTCTATTTACTTTCGTTTGTCGTTTAACGACCATTAGGTTAATTGACCAGAACGTGTCGTGTTAAAAAATGTGCACGCTACTATTCGAATAACTAAAACTTCGCGAGAAATTCCACAATTCGTAGAATTAAATGACTATTTCATAATCGTATTTAAAACCATAAAACCATCAATTAATATAATACATTCGGTATTATACCAACGGGCAATATAAAATGAACCACTAATGACGTGTCGACAAAATTCCGAACACCTAATCAAAAAAAAAAAAGAATAAAATTAACAAATCCGATTAAAGAGAAAGCGTTTCAGGGAATTATACGTTACTAGGCGAAAATTTTATTACAACGGGATAAGGAAACCACAGGTTTTCATGCGTATAGTAAAAAGCGTTTCACAAAAAACCGAAACCAAATAGTTCGCCTCTGTGAATTAAAGCTTCAAATTCGAAACCGTCATGCCGAACGTATGTTAAAGTTTAACGATGTAATAATAACGTAAATATTACGTTATTGCTAATTTAAACTAAATTATTCGGCAAAAAAAAATACATTTTATTTTCTGGAAGATTCCCGGAATTATTTAAGTAGTTTATCCACGTCATATTAAAATTTATTACCAGCTAATGACGACAAGCGAATTCCTGGATCCCATATTAGCGTTTAAACTTATATACCAGGATTTTTATATAATAATAATAATAAATAATCCGGAATACTAATTGACTGAAAACACCAAAACATCATACATTTCTTACTTGTCTAATGGCGAACAGTATTTAATTTATTGAAGTAATGTTATTTAAGATAACAGTTTCTTTCAGCCAGCACCTTAGTGGCGAAAACACTTTTTTGGAACATTCTGCAGCTATAGCATTCATAGTCTTTAGGGCAGAGCGATGAGATTACGAGAGAGTTACTGCTTCTGCTCTATCTTCTAGTTTTATAACATATTTTTCACAATTTGTTATTCCTTTAGTTGTACTTGATCATTGTAATTAGATTATTACAGTTAATAAAATTAAATAAATAAAGAAAAGCTCACAGAAAGAAAAAATCAGATCGGCAAATA